ACCTTGCCACTCATAGAAATGAACATTGTAGAACGTGGTCAAGTAGAACAGTATAAATGGGAGACCGAAGAAAGAGCAAGGCAAGATATAATAGATTAAAAAAATAAAAATGTATTTTTACAGATACAGTCATCTCAAGAAAACTTAGAGCAGTTAAGAGAGAATAATATTGTTTCAATAAGAAGTCAGATAGCGTGGAATAATAGACATTGGAGACTCCAAAAAGTGAGCGGGGACGAGGTATGAAAAATACCTGTGGGTGCCAGGGACACTATGTGGGTGGCGGGTGCACTAAAAGCCCAGACCCCAGCACTACGCAATATATGCACGCAACAAAACCGCATGTGCGCCCCCTAAGTCTACAGAAATAAAGTAATAAGAAGCCAGATGGAACTCAGAATTAAAGATCTGGAATCTGAATTCTCTAAAATGAAAACTTCTCGAGAAGACTTTAATAAAACTGAACTGGAAAAATACAAGCAATTCTATTTAGAAGAATTAAAAGTTAGAAAACCATTGACAAATAAACTCAACAAACTAATGAGGGGCTTCAGAGGTTAGTACGAAATTTCTTGTGGAGAAACAGCAGACCGGATCTTCATTCAACACTCGTACTACGAGCCCAGTCCTTGTGCCGGAATCTTAATAATGGGTTAGTTCTCAACAGAAAACATATGCCAGGAGGGGCACTAGTGATCTCTCCCCCAAGTCCACAGACTTCAGATGACAGCGTGGAGAACTCCGTGCCCAAGAGGAAGCAGGAGTTGGAAAAACATAACTAGAAAACTAGAAGCTGCTGCTGCCGAATTGGAATCTAGATCCTATCTGGCTTCTCCTCTAGGATCTACTAAAGAGTCAGATCTAAATCAAGATCTAGTTCTGAAAACATCATGAGACTGTGTCCAGATTTTAAGGAAAAATCCTGTGCTCTGAAAGATAATGGAATTATATTACTGGGCTGTTTACATGAAAAAATAAAAATAAATCAGCAAGAACAGAAAAAACATTAAGGATGGGGAGAAAACTGAAACAAGTGAACCCAACTGAATTTCAGGTGAAAATATCATCACACTGAAGGAAAAACATAACTAATGTAGATAACTTCTGAAGACAGCGTTCAAATATATACCTTCATTCAGGAGTAGGAAGAGGATAAGAATTTCAGACAAATCCTGATTTTTTTAGTAGGGTTTGACTTTTGAAGTGGTGTGGGTGACGCAGTTCTGAAGTTATTTTAGATCTGTTGTAGGATTGAAAAAGTGGTATTATCTGGGGCTCCAGGGCTCTTGCTGTGGAAGAGGGGAAGTTTGGACATAGTGTAGGGCAGGGCCAGGAATGGAGTGGAATTGGAGGAGTCTATAAGAACTCACAATTCCTAAAATGTGTGTGTGTGTGCCCCACACATGTGCTTCCTAGGTCTTTCTGCTGCAAGAGGCTGGAAGCAGAGACATCCCAGTAGTGCTGAGAGACTGTTGCCTGGGCCATTAGTGCTGCTTTCCCCACTAAAAGGAACCAGGGCCTCTCAGAGAAACAGCTGATTCCTGGGCTGAGGCAAGGAAGGTACAAGATGCATTTGGAACATATTTTATACCAGAGAGTAAGGAAGTGCTAAAAAAAAAAAAAAAAAAAGAAAGAAAAAAGGAAGAAGATAGAAAAGTGCATGTCCAGAGGACACAGAAGTGGTTCCCACTGGCTAAATGTGGGATAAGTTAAGTGTCAGGGTAATTAGAGACAATAATGAATTAAGAACTATTAAAAATTAGGAAACAATGGGTTCATTTACAATAAATAGGTAAGTAAATCAAAAATTGGGGAAGAAGGGCGTTGTTATCCTCTTGCTTACAGGATAATGATGAGTTCTGACAGATAAATGTGCCAAGTCATCACTTTGTAACCATCCTAGCAAAGATTGGTTCAGGCAAGAATCATTAATATATGCGGAGTCAAGGGTTAGTTTTGATGAGGACCAGGGTATTTGCATGTGTCAAAGTATCTTCCCAGACACTCTTAGAAGTAGCAGGGGAAATGTAGTTACTGCTAAGTGAAGAAACCAGACAACAACTTGACTGGGTGATCAAAGTGAAAGTCGCCAACAAAGGACAGACGGACATTGTGCACTACAGGCAACGTGGCTTATGTAGCTCTGTGACTGGGATTGCACAACTTGGACATTATCACGAAGAAACATCAGACAAACCCAACATAAGGACCACTCTGTTGAAAAAAGCAGGGGCCTTGTCGTATTCAAAAATACTATTGTCTTGAAAGACAGAGAGAAGCCGAGGAACTGTTTCAGATTAAAGGAGATTAAAGTGATATGATAAGTGCAATCGGGGATCCTGGGCTTAGTTCTGCACTGGAGGGGAAGAAATGCTATAAAGGACATTATTGGGTCAGTTCACAAAATTGGAATGAGTGGTTAGCTTAGATATAAGCATTGTGTCAGTGTGTCCAGCTCTGGGTTATTATAATTAAGGCTACTCTGCACCTTAGTATACAAGTCTTTGTGTAGACATTTGCTTCCATTTCTTTCAGTTAAATACCTAGGAGTGGAATGGCTATAACATTTAGCAGGTATCTATTTAACTCTTTTAAGAAACTTACTGTATCAATGTTAAATTTCCTGAAGTTGCTAACTTTTCCTGTCTTAGGAAGTCAACATTGATGTATTTAGGAGAGGGGCATCATCTGTGCACATTACACTCTCAAATATTTCTAAAACGAGAAATATACATATATACACACATATACATAGATATTACATATGTACACATATGTGTGTATAGAGAGAAGAAGGAAGACAGAATGATAAAACAAATGGGGTGAATGTTAATAATTGACAAATCTGGGCAAAAGATATATGACATATTTGTCTTATTCGTGTAATTTTTCTACTTGAAATTAATTCCAAATAAATAAATGCCATAATAGGCTAGGGTGGAGCATCTTCTGGATTTTGAAGATCAGTGTTGTGCTGTCAAAATCCGCATTCAGTGTAAGATGTATTTAGGTGCCGGTTTTGGTAGCACGTGCTCTGGAGCGTTGCCGTGCTGTCTGCATTTCTGTGCTCCAGAACTGCCTGGAATGGTAACAGATTGTCAGGTGAAGTTCTTTTCCTGGGTCGAAGCCAGATCCCCCGAGATGGATCTCCAGATCTACCTGCTTTGTCCGTATTGCCCCAGTTTAGCAAACACCAAGTGTGATGGTGGGTCTCAACTCGGTCTGTGATCCTTCTGCTTTAAAAACGATATTGCGAATATGGACAAGGTTGGTGTCATAAGGAAAAGAAACCCAAGAGACGTCAAATTCCGTTATTTTAACTTCAGAAATGTTTAAGGTTGGGGGTTGAATTGACAGTTTTCCAATATGCAGGAGGAAGAGAAATGTTATGAATGTCTCATTTCTTCCCAGGTCTAGAATTATATGTAAATTTGCCCCAGAGGGCTTCTGAGTTTTTGCAGAGCCTTTTACCAACCAGTGGCTGCAGTTTCCTTTAGACATCTTTCAAGACTATGTTCCCCACCACTGAGTGATGTCCACGTATTTACTTGTCTTCCTCTGCAGAGTTATTCACTGTATGATTTCCTGAAGACTGATTCCAAATTAGGAGCTTAGAAAGTTTAACTTAAAGTATCCAAAACAGGATAGTGTTCGGAGATAACGTTTTCTGGTCACCCAGTCAAGTTACCAGGGAGGCCTTGACCTTCAGAAAGATATAAACCTCATCGGCAGGCTCGTAGACAAACCCTTGTCCCATTTTTTTCATACATTAAATTAGTTTTCTTGGCTTTCAGCTTTAGCTGTGTTAGCTGGGGTGTCGTAAGACACAGGCATGGATGGGACGGGTGACCTTTCCTTGCACTTTGTTTTCTTATCACCCATCCCTAACCCCCAAATGAAGCTCCAGAACACTGGTATTAATATTGGCCTGTGAGAAAAGATTTCCTGGTTAATATTTGGAGAAATGCCTGACATCAGATCCACTTCTGGGAGACTCACTAAGAAGCATGTTCAAGTTTATTTAACCCTTTAGAAATTTTAACCCAAGGCCATTGGCCCTGGAAGAACTTACGTTAAGGAACGCTGGTGAGTGTCGCAAGGAAAGGTGGGACTTGGTGGAAAGCTCTAGATTAGGAGGACCAGGAGGAGGACTTTATAAGGCATTTCTAAGTGGTGCAAGTCCTTAAAATATAAAAACGTAGCCTTTCTCAGCATCACCTTTGTGCCTATTTTAGAAAGTTATTCCCAGATTTTATATTCCTGTGAAGTCTTTTGTTGCACGACTGTAGGTTGCAGCGTGTTTCTGGCCAGCTCACGGGTGTTCTCACTGCCCTTTGGAAGCTGTTTCAGGTGGCACGTGACAAAGGCGGAGGAGGGGGCCAAAAGGTATGCGGAGGTATAAACAAGTAGACACAGTGAGGGCACAGACTGGGTGGCCCTGTTGAGGGGACATTAGCACAGTTGCACCTCGTCCTCTGAGGATTTCTAGCAAAGCCTCACCGCCCAAATTCTCCTCCCCACCTTCCAGCAAAGGGCCTGACACGGACCCTCCCCCAACTCAGTTGCACCTCAAAAGCTCCCTTTTAGACCATCAGTAATTTCTAAAAAATATACCAGGTCCGTCTGAAAAGCTGTGAGGATTAGTGCCCTCGTGCGGAAACAGGATGACATCTGGGGCTCTGTAGCCGCCCCCTTCCAGTGACCTGCCACCTGCCCAGCCAGACCAGGCAGCTGTGTTCTGCAGGGACGAGTCAAGCTGGGGAGCGGGCCCCCGTTTCTCAGTTTCTCTTCTGTTTCCAGTGACGACACTGTTCGTGCATTGTTTTTTGGTTTTTTTTGGTCTTTAAAAAAAAATCCATTTCTTCTCTAAGTGACTCTAAACCGCTTCAGTGTAGTATCACACAGTGCGAACCGTGGGATGCCAGAGCCGCACGCGCTGCTTACTCTGAAGCTGCAGTTGAGTTAAGTGATCGTGACTCGTGTTCCCTTTGGCACCCCAGTGTCTCCCGGCTGCGGCGCCTGCTCAGCTGCTACGACGCCCGCGAGCCCGTGTTCCTGGGAGAGCGCTACGGCTACGGCCTGGGCACCGGCGGCTACAGCTACGTCACCGGCGGAGGAGGGTAACTATGGGCTCAGCCCGCTGCTGCGAGCACTTTGCGGGGAAACTTCCCTTCCCACCGCGAATGTGGGGGGTTGTGGGCCCGGGATCCGCACTGCTGCGCCAGCGCTCTGTAAACGGCGGCTGCTACCTTCACAGGAAAGCGAACGTTGCGTTAGTATTTGCTAAATATGAAGAGAACCCACAGTAAAGAGTATTTTACCCTTCGAAGAAACGATACAAAAATATATGTCTGTGAACTTGGTAGAAATGTCCCTGTAATAGCGGTTGCTTCTAGGCAGCCAACTAGTTTTGATTGTCTGTTTAAATGAAAAAAAAAAAAAAAACAAATTGGTTATAGATTTTAATTTCAGAAAATAAGCCATTCGACTTTTAAATTACCCAGTGCTTAATAAATCACATTCGGGAAAAGGGTAGTGTAAAAGCTTAGACTTAGGCAATGAAGTGGTATTTCTGTAGGATTTATAGGTTTTAAATTACAGTTAAAAATCAATATTTTTAAATGAAGCATCTGCCTAATCTCTTACCAGGAAAGATTTTAATTTGATTTATATGGGTAAATCAATCAAGCAGTTAGTCTTTTGTATTACTTCTATAGTCCTAACTATTTGGGGATGTATAGGCAGAATCTTCTTATCAACTCTAGCCATTTAAATTCATTCACCAGATGTTAAATGTCTACTGTGTGCTGGGCATCTGCTAGTGTGAAATCAGTGATTATAAACTTCACAAGGGCTTAGGACCTTACATCCCTACTTTGCAGTCCGCTAGACCGGAACGGGTCTTACGGGACCTGCAGCATCTGGAGTCGTTACAGATGCTCTGGTTTGGCCTGTTCCGTGGTGAACATGACACGGTTGTGGAGGTGGCTCTCTTGTGCGAGAACCAAGCTAGAGCCGAGTGCCCTTTGTTAAGCAGTGGCTCGCGTCTACCTGAGGTCATTGGCGGCAGGAGATGGGAGTCCAGGGAGGCCTTTGAAAAGACACGGAAGAGTCAGGCCAAAGAATGTTGAAAAAAAAAAGTTCAAGCTGTTTGCAGCCTTACCTTACGGTAGCCGCATTTAGCTGTCTTGGTGCAGAGTTAGGGCTGAGTGATGATCAGGGCATGGCACCTTGTGAGCTAGGACGCTCCAGTTCTGAAAGGGGCCCTGTTATTTGTATGTGGGCTTATGTGTTTTATAACACGCTGGTGTTCATGTAGTACTTTTAATGCAGAAGTGACTTTTTGTGTGATTTCTGAAAGCAAGCTACTACTGTGTTGTCTTCCTGGTGTATTGGATTTAGCTGTTACTTCTGGGACTGGCACTCGAGGCCTTCTGTAGCCTTGCCTGGCCTTTGCTAAGCAGCATCGCCTTTTGTCGCCTCAGTTGGGTCCATTCATTCAACCAGCCTGGGGTGTGCCAGGTGCTGGGCATCCACGCGCCCCCCCCCCCACGGGAGCTCACAGGCTGCTGCCGTATTTGCACAAACATTGCATAGCTGTCACTGCTCCCTTCTCCTGCCGGTGCAAGGCCCTGCTAGACAACCATGGTGGCACCTTGAACTCCTGTGTTCAGCCTGTCCTTGCTCCTGGGTGTTTTCCACCACCTCTAACTTTCCCATCTTAAATCTCCCACCACCGCGCTGCCTCCTTCCTCCCCAGTAGAACGTCTCAAGAGCTCACCACTGTCTCCATTTCCTTAGCTCCTCACTCAGCCTGCTGCCTGAACTCTCTCCAGTGTCTCCAGTAACCTTGCCGTAGCCAAATCAGATGGGCTGTTCACGTGTTCATCTCATTCCCCTCTTAGCAGCTGGTGACACAGTTGGCAGTTCACTGACACACCCCTTTCCCTCGCTTTCCAGAGCTCCTTCCTCTCCTGGTGCATTCCCTTTCCCGTCTTTCCCATCAAACCAGCTCAGTTCCATCTCTCTCTCCCTCCAGTGTCTGTGTCCTCAGGCGTCTTCTCCGGCCTCCCTCCCCCGCTCGCTCAGCCTTCTCCCCCGGCCATCTCATCCGCGCCCCCTCCCCCACCTCCCACCCCTGGCTCCATGCTGAGAGCACCCAGCTCTCCGTGCCGGCCTAGACTCTGTCCTGACCTCCTGGTTCCCAGATCCTCCTGCCAAGGGCCCCTCCACGCGGTGACTCACAGGCACATCGCACTTCGTCGTCTCTGACTTCAGTCCCAGTGTCCCCTCCCAGGGAAGACGGCGGCGTATGCGGGTTGCTGCCTCAGGAGTCCGTGAGTCAGCTCTCATGTGTGTCCTTCTTTTCCCACCTCCTGGAATTGACTGAGTCACTGAGTCACGTCAGTTTTGTCTCCTGGAGGTGCCTCCCATCAGTACTTCTCTCCATCTACAGCACTGTCATCTAGTCACCGTCACCTCTCGTGTGGGTTCCTGCCACAGGCTCCTCTTCTCACCGCTTCCTGTCTGACTCCACTGCACGCTGCTGTCCCCACTGTGGTCAGGCCACCTCTCCAAAAGCAGATCCGATCTTCTCTCTCCCATGCTCAAAGGCCCCCAGTGGCTTCCCATGGCCTTAATTTTCCCCAAGAGTGTGAACCCTTGCCTACTTTTTGGCATCTAAGATGAAGAGGTGATCATTCGATTTCCTCAAAGGTCAAAGTGATCTGGGATTAGGCCTCAGATTTAATCACCTCTCATTTACTTAATCATGCCCCTACCTTGGGGCTAGACTTATCTTCTGCCCCAGGCTCAATTTGCCCTGAAAGCGGCCACAGTCTGCTGCTCCCCTAGGAAGGAGTCTTCCCTCTAGAAATGCATTCAGCTAGGCTTCCTGGAATCCACCTCTTTTCAACAATTCCATAGATAAGCATGATTTTTATTTTGCTTGGATTTTTCTTTGGTATGGAAGTCTTTTCATCCTCTGATATCCTGACTGTAAGTAGGACTGCTCCCATTGCCTACAGGATGAAGTCCACACTCTGCATCAAGTTGTACAGGCTTCCCACGACCTTGGAAAAGGTTATTTTACCTTTCTGGCCCCATCCATCTATACCGTCATCTTAAAGAATTCTTGCTGAACTTATTTCAGTTTCTCAGAAGCACCACTTTTTTTTCTTACCCCAAGATATGGCAACCGCTGGTCGCTACATGGCATTATTTCGCCACCCCAACTTTGTCTGGATAATGCCTCCCCGTTCTTTTGGACTCAACATAGCTATCCTTTATTTACTCCGGGAAGCCTTCAGCCTCCTTGGAAGAGGCCCCGGTGTTCCCCGAGACAGCCACGAGCTGTTCCTCGCCGCAGATCCGGAGAGGGTGGGTGCGTCCCCCTACGGCACCTTCTGCACATGTTCCTCGTCTGCAGGCGTGTTCTGGAGCAAGCTGCAGCCTCCCGTTTCCATTTTCTTATTTTAAAAATTTGTGCACAGTATATTAAAGGAAATCAAATTATTAATCTTATAGCCTTTCAACATCTTTTTAATATTTAAAAGTTGGTGGACAGAGCAGACTCAGAGTTCTTTTTTGCCATGATGTGACTGGTAATTTTCCATTTGGGAGCAACTTCATTTGGAAAGAGCCCAACAGCATACTAATACACAGGTGTTATTAAAGTCTCATGCGTAACTTCATTTATGTGAATAATTAATGTAGGACTGTTCCATGACAGTAGGCAAAGTATAAAATAATTACTAATTAAAATTTCACGCTTTTAGCTTCCTATAAAGTTAATTTTTATAGAGAGAGCTGATCAGAATAAAAGGCCTCCTTTTCTTCCTATTCTAATAGACGCTGGCAGAAAGAAAGCTTTTTTACTGTTTTCCTGTCAGCGCACACTCCCGACGTGGGCCCTTTTCGTGGGGTCATAGGTCGAACCCTTGTGGCTGGCTGGGTACAGGAAAAGAAGGTGTGGGGCCTGGGAGGCTTCCCTGGGAGACAGCACACTTTCTAAGAGAAAGGCAAGTTGTGGAGGCTTGGCAAACTTGCAGGTTTCCTTTTTGTATAGTCGACAGGAATTTCATTCCTTCTTTGTGAAGGAAGTCCTATTTCTTTGTATCATCTTAAGGAAAGAGCTGCTTTTTCCTCCTGTCTAGTCAAGGGCAGAGAGTGAGCCTTTTGCGCTGCTGTGTTCTTGGTGATCGTCATCAGCCTTGGGTAGATTGCACTGAGCCGGCTACGTGTGGGGCCGGTGTTTCTGAATCAGCGATTGTGTTGAAGCGCTCTGTCCTTTTCCCTTCCTGCTAGACTGATTCATGGAATGCTTCCTCCCTTGGGAAGAAGATCTTTGCAAAGGCAGCTTCATTCTCACTTGTTTGATACGTCAAACTTTTATTGAGTGCTTACTGTGTACAAGGCCCTATATTTGGCAGTGGGAGCATAGAATTTTAAATAGTTTTGCATTAGAGAAAATTATTTGATTGAGACTGAACTTGTGAACCATTTTAGTCCCTTCAGCCTTTTCAGCTTTTGGGCTATTCATGATATGAAAAGATTCATGTCTACCATAGGACCAGAATGGAAACCAGAAACCAATCTATATTTTAATTTTTAAAAATTTTTAACTTTACTTTTATTTCAGCATATTACAGGGGTACAAATGTTTAGGTTACATATATTGCCTGTGGCCCACCTGAGTCAGAGCTTCAGGTATGTCCATCCCCCAGACAGTGCATACCGCACCCATTAGGTGTGAATATACTGATCCCATCGTCCCCCTCCCATCTGCCTGACACCCGATGCATGTTACTGCTATATGTGCACATATTCCACATTTTATTTTATTTTTATTATTTTTTTTTTTTTGAGACAGAGTCTCGCTTTGTTGTCCAGGCTGACAGTGAGTGCCGTGGCGTCAGCCTACTCACAGCAACCTCAAACTCCTGGGCTCCAGTGACCCTTCTGCCTAACTCCCGAGTACTGGGACTTCAGCATGTGCCACTATGCCGGTATTTATATATATAAACAGCTTGGCCAATTAATTCTTCTATTACTAGTAGAGAAGGGTTCGCTCTTTCAGTGCTCTGTTCGATACTCCTGACCTGAGCACATCCACCCGCCTCGCCTCAAGAGCTAGATTACAGCGTGAGCCACAGCGCCCGGCCTTATTCCACATTTTATTAATCCACTCATGTATTGATGGGTGCACTTGGGTTGTTTCTACATCTTTGCAGTTGTGAATTGTGCTGCTGTAAACATTCTAGTGCAGATGGCTTTTTTACAGAATGTCTTTTTTCTTTTGGGTAGATGCCCAGTAATGGAATTGCTACATCAAATGGTAGTTCTACTTGTAGCCTCTTGAGATCTCCATCTTACTTTCCATAGAGGTTGTACTAATTTTCATTCTCACCAGCAGTGGATGAGTGTTCCTATCTCTCTGCATCCATGCCAACATTTATTGTTTTGGGACTTTTTGATAAAGGCCATTGTTCTCATTGGAGTTAAGTGATATCTCACTGTGCTTTTCATTTGCATTTCCCTGATAATTAGAGACATTGAGCATTTTTAATGTTTGTTGGCCATTAGTCTATCTTCTTTTGAAAAGTTTCTGTTCATGTCCTTTGCCCACTTTTTGATAGTTGTCTGATTTTTTTCTTACTGATTTTCCTGAGTTATAAATAAATTCTAGTTATCAGCCCTTTATTGGATGTGTGTAACATGTGAATATTTTTTTCCATTCTGTAGGTTGTCTGTTTGCTCTCATGATAGTTTTCTTGGCTGTGCAGAAGCTTTTTTTTTTTTTTTGAGACAGAGTCTTGCTTTGTTGCCCAGGCTAGAGTGAGTGCCATGGCATCAGCCTAGCTCACAGCAACCTCAAACTCCTGGGCTCAAGCAATCCTGCTGCCTTAGCTTCCCGAGTAGCTGGGACTACAGGCATGCACCACCATGCCTGGCTAGTTTTTTCTATATATATTAGTTGGCCAATTAATTTCTTTCTATTTATTAGTAAGAACGGGTCTCCGCTCTTGCTCAGGCTGTTTCGAACTGACCTCGAGCAATCCGCCCGCCTCGCCTCCCAGAGTGCTAGGATTACAGGCGTGAGCCACCGCGCCCGGCCTGTGCAGAAGCTTTTAAATGTGATCAGGTCCCATTCATTTATTTTTGTTGTTGCTATGATTGCTTTTGAGGCCTTCTTCATAAATTCTTTCCCTAAGCCACTGTCTATAAGAATTATTCCAACCTATATTTTAAAAAGAAGAGAATGTATCATGGGAACTTGGTACCAAAGTATTGGAAAGGGCTGGAAGACTAAAGAGCAGGGTGGTTTCGCCCAGAGACCACCGGGACAGAAACAGACAGCCTCCCCCCATGCTGGGCCGCTTGTCAGATGAGACCAGGTCTCAGCTGGCTGCGGAGGCTAGAAAAGTTTGTTGTGAAGTTTCTAGCCTCCCGCAGTGCCGAGGGGCACACAGAGAGGCTGGAACAGGCCAGAGTTCCACCAGCAGGTGCCTGGCAGGCCGAATGGTGCCGTGACACTGCTGGAGACAAAAGTCCCGCGCTCACACGCTCGCCTGCTCCTGCTCTCGCTCTCCTTCTGTCGCGGTTGCCCCGAGGAGGCGCCTGCGAACTGGAATCGCCTGCACAATGGAAGGGCTTTCATTTAGGTTTGATCTCCCGGTCAGTCTGACATGCACGAGTAGGATGCCCGGGATTGCAGGGCCCGTCTCCCTGATGGGGATGTTGGCAGAATTTGTTATTGGTCTCATTGAGGGTTTTGAAACGAAAGAACTATTCTCGGGTTTCCAGATTTCGTATTAGAAAAAGAACATTGCATAGTATTGGTTTGTAAGAAATGTATGTAAAAAATAGGTGGGTAAACATCTCTTAAAACTGAGATTTGTCGAAGGATACAAAATTACAACTAGATAGGAGGAATGAGTTCTACTCTTATACCACTGCAGGGTAACTATAGTTAACAATAATAAATAGTTGCAATTCGCCACAAGGAGGCTATTGGATGTTCCCAACACAAATGATAAACGTTGGAGATGATAGATATGCTGATCACCCTGATCTGATCACTTGTGCATTCTATATATTGAAACATCACCATGTACCCCGTGAATATGGACAATTGTCAACTAAAAAATTAATTTTAAAAATTCCATACATTAAACAAAGGGATTTTACCTCCCTAGAAAGCACAAAAATATTTTCTCCAGAGTAACTATCGAATATAAAAGACGACTGCCGCCAGCATCTTTCAGCTTTGCCAGATGCGCGGCCTCTGAACGTAGTTCTTTGCTCATATCTGCGGGCCGGCGGGCTGCCCTGGCTAACCCCTCTCTCTGCCCGCTCCGGCCCCCGCCAGGATGGTCTTCAGCAGAGACGCCGTCAGGAGGCTGCTCGCCAGCTGCTGCCGATGCTACAGCAATGACGCTCCCGACGACATGGTCCTGGGCATGTGCTTCAGCGGGCTGGGGGTGCCCGTGACTCACAGCCCTCTCTTCCACCAGGTGAGGGCGGTCTGACGCCTGCCTCCCAGGGTTGGGGCATGCTCTTCTCCTTCTCGCTTAAGGACTCTCCTCCTTTCTCTTCACACCTTCTGGAACAGTCCTGACAACTGTGTTGGCAGCTCCTGGGCGGCGGCACCCTTGGCAGGCCTCTCCCCTCCCTGACCTGCACGGGCACCACGCACGTCGCAAAGAGGGCGGGCAAAACGCCTGCAAACCAAACGGCGTCTGGCCAGTAGTAGCCTTGCACGTAGGGCCGGTGAAAAGCTGCTCTGTTTTTTTTTTTTTTTAATTATTCTTTTCAGTTAAAAAAAATTGACATTTAAAAATTATTGCATGCTGTCTTGAAATAGAAAGGACTGACCTAGTATTGTCCTACTGATCACCGAGTGTGTGTAATTCTGCACCATCCTCGGTTTTTAATACTGTACATCTGGCAGTCTTTCTACTGGGCTTTCCCCCCTCTGGTTGCTATTAAACCGAGAGGCTAAAAATCTATTAAATTTCAACATAGTATCTCAATAAGCATATGTCCTGGGGGTTATGGGAGAGGAGAGATAAGATGATATTTACTAGGAATGGCTACTATTTATAGCCTCACCATACTGCAGTTTGGGGATTAGAGAAGGAAATCCTTCTGCATTATTTTTAGTATTTTTTAAGAACCAGGTCAGTGAATTTTCTTCTAAGAATCATAGCAGATATACACAAACTAAAAATAACCATAGACCAATTCCCCTCCAATGTCTTCCTTCAAGAAATGTAAAGCTTTTCAAATTTGAAATGTATAAATGCATGTGTAACTTAAAGGCCCTCCGTTATATGGAAAACAGTCTTCATGCTTTATTTAGTGACCGGTGGCAAACGCTACCTCATAGCAATAGAGAGGCTTTAGCCTGACAGAAACGGCGCTATAGAAAGCAACTTGAACAAGGCAGAGGACAAGAGAACAACTTGAACTTGCCGCGTCAGGAAAGGCAGAACCCGTTTCTATGTCCTGGAGACCGTAGGGGAGGATAAAAATAGACCTTTAATACAAAGAAATGTATGAGAAACCTCCTTCCTGGTACCAGTTGGAAGGCACTTAATCTGTCCTTTAAAACTGCGGTGCCCAGGCCCCAGGGTGTGGTCTGGTGCCAGCTCGGGGCCTGTTGTCGTCTGTTGTCATCCGGACCGGCCTGCACAGCAGGAGGTGAGCGGCAGGCGAGCGCGGGAAGCTTCATCAGTATTTACGGCCACTCCCCATCTGTCACAGCGCTGCCTGAGCCCCGCCTCCTGTCAGATCAGCAGCAGCATTGGACTCTCATAAGGGCGCGAACCCTACTGTAAACTGCACATGTGAGGGATCTGGGTTGCGGCTCCTCATAGAGAATCTACTGCCTGGTGATCTGGGGTGGAGCTGAGGCGGTGATGCCAGCGCTGGGGAGCGGCTGCAAATGCAGATTATCATCAGCAGAGAGATCTGACTGCACAAGGACCGTAGTAAGTCAGTTGCTTGCAGATGCATATCAAAACCCTACCAGTGAGTGGCAAGTGACAATGTAATAATAATAATAATGATAATAGAAATAAAGTGCACAATAAATGTAATACACTTGAATCATCCTGAAGCCATTCACACCCCCTGCTTTGGTCTGTGGAAAAATTGTCTTCCATGGAACGGGTCCCTGGTGCCAAAAAGGTTGGGGACCGCTGCTTTAAAACTTTGAGAGCTCTTACCCATTTTAAGCCCATGTGTTGTGTTAGGATGACTGAGAAAAGCAGGTTCTTCTCTGCCATTCCCTCTCTTGTTCTGTCTCATGGTGTTTCACTCATTAAAAAAAAATAATTAAAACTGTGGGTATATAAGGGAAATAATTTATCAAGGTGAGTGTGACAGGTTTTAGCTTTTTATAGCAGCCTTTTTCACTAAGGGAAGAATACATTAGTAAATAAAATGATAAGGAGAAAAGAAAGAAGGAAAGTCATCTAATCCTTAAGTAAAAGTCCTTTGAAGGTAATCAAAAATTAAAAAGTTTGCTGTTTCCCATACTTTAGAACTCTTGATTTCTCTACTTCACATAAATTTAAAACCCTTCCAATATCATAAAATGTTTAAAACCTATCCTCCCCAACAGATAGTGCTTTATCTTCTATTTTTAAGCCTCTTTGAGAGAGTTTGCTATGATTTGGACAGTATTTTCCATTTGTAACATTTAAACGCTGATCCAAACGGTGTATTCGGTCATATTGACAAAGAAATATGAGACAAAGGGATAAACTTTAAGGTTCCTGATGATTGGAGATAGTAGAGTGGGCATTTGGAAACAGTCTCAGATACAAAGCTGCCTGAGCCACATTCTGCCTATTTTTAGTCAGAGAAGGTCATTGTCAGTTCATAGATTTAGAAGTGGACTCCAGGGGCTGCCTAGCACTTCCCTTTGTTAGAAGCAGAGTATCTAGAGCACCTGATTTTCTGTTCTTCCAGAATTAAGCACCACTAATGGATACGGCAGCGTATAGTGGCTGGTACGTGCCCAACTCTGGAACTTTGCCAAGAAGTTTTAGCCCACCGTGATGCTGGGTGAACCGTGTAGGGTGCAAGTCATTTCCCAATACAGCTGGCAAATGATTTGTCTAAGGGAATACAACTTGAATCTCCATATGTTGCTCTGTCCAGTGTGCTCTAATTTTTACAGATAAGAGGTTTCAATTTTGCCTGACGTGTGTCTGTCTGGCGCAGTATGGGCCGCCTCCCTCTTCCTGCACACAGCTGCCCGACACGCTCAGCGTCTGCCCCTCCAGTCCTTCCCCACCCCGGATCCCGCCTGCTCGGGATTTCCTTTTGGCATTTTGGACACAGATGCGTGATTATGAGAATCCGTATGGACTTCTTGGTGTTAACAGAGATCTCGTTGAATGTATTTCACTTTTCTGGTTCTGTTAACACGTTTCCATGGCTTTATTTATAAAAAAATGACTGGCACATTCTAATGCTTATTAATAAGCCAGCTCTTTACATGCGTACGTGGGCTCTCTGAAATGTGGTTAATCACTTCTGGAATCTGCATCAACAGAGGGATAGATGTTAAGGATTTATTTATTTTTCCTGTTAGATGCATTTGTATCTCCAATAGTTCATTTTCAAATGTGAAAAACACAGATTTGTTTCCATTGCTTTTATGGTCATCTCGCCTTATCCATGGGATATAAAGTCTAAGACCCCCAGTGGATTCCTGAAACCCTGAGTAGTACCAAACCTTCCACATGTAATGTTTTTTCCTATACATACATACCTACGATTGAGTTTGATTTAGAAAGTAGGCACAGTAAGAGATTAACAACAATAACTAATAATATAGAACAACTATAGCAATATGCCAACATATAACAATTTTTCTGTTTTTGTGTGGAAGTCATAATAGTAACTTAAATGACTTACCAAGTAAAGCTTTTTGCATTTGTTGTGGTTGAGGAATCTGCCAGAGGCAAGATCATGGGACATAGAAGCAAAAAGCAATGTATTTGGTATATTGAGGTAAGCAAAGAACCTTGAGTTAGAGGGAAGACAGTTGAAAATATTTTCCTTTTTGCTTTTAGATTCCCGTAACCAACATCAAATCGTGAAAAAAAAAAACAAAACCCAGCCATTTTATGAATTCAAATGCTCCTCTGCAGCAAAACTATTGTCAATCAACAAGAAAGCATAACTGTGTTCTTCTTCCTGCAGGCCCGGCCAGTGGATTACCCTAAGGACTACCTTTCTCATCAAGTTCCCATATCGTTCCACAAACACTGGAACATCGATCCAGTGAAGGTGTATTTCACATGGTTGGCTCCCAGCAAGGAAGACAGAGCCGGGCAGGAGACGCAAAAGAGTTTTAGAGAAGAGTTATAAACCACGGTGGCCTCTGAGCACGGTTTGGGCAGGAAACAGAGCTGGAGACTGCGGCATCGTCCACTGTGCTGTGCTCATGCTGCTCGTGTGGCCATGTGGCATCGGACGCTTCCTGACTTTAGGTGGAAATTATGTTTATGGTATGTTTTGATGGAGGAAGAAAAGGAGTCAAGGGGAAATAGTTTTTTTTTTTCAGGGAAAAATCACTTGCTTTTGACTTATGCAGTTGTTGTCACACATAGTGATTACTGTGCATATTCCAAGCTGTGATACAGCAGCATTCTAACTCTCACAGGAAAATAAATGGTGCCAGAAGTCCTTCTCCTGTTTGCTTTCTTTCTTTTTTTTTTATTTTGGCATATTATAGGGGTACAGATTTTAAGGTTTCAATAAATGCCCATTTCCCCCCTCCCCCCACAAGTCTGAGTCTCCAGCACTACCATCCCCCAGATGGTGCACATCTCACTCATTATGTATGTATATACCCGTTCCCCTCCCCCTCCCACCTGCCCAATACCCTATTACTGTAGTACCTATGTGTCCACTTAGGTGCTGCTCAGTTTCAATACAATGCGGTAGTATATCTGGTGCTTGTTTTCCATTCTTGGGAAACTTCACTTAATAGTATGGGTTCCAGCTCTAACCAGGAAAATACAAGATGTGCTATATCACTGTTGTATCTTAGAGCTGAATAGTCCTCAGGTATACATATACCATTTTTTATTAATCCATTCTTGGATGATAGCGCTTGGGCTGTTTCCACAGCCTTGCGATTATGGAATTGTGCTGCTGTAAACATTCTAGTGCAGATGGCTTTTTTACAGAATGTCTTTTTTCTTTTGGGTAGATGCCCAGTAATGGAATTGCTACATCAAATGGTAGTTCTACTTGTAGCTCTTTGAGATATCTCCATCTTACTTTCCATAGAGGTTGTACTAATTTTCATTCTCACCAGCAGTGGATGAGTGTTCCTATCTCTCTGCATCCATGCCAACATTTATTGTTTTGGGACTTTTTGATAAAGGCCATTGTTCTCATTGGAGTTAAGTGATATCTCACTGTGCTTTTCATTTGCATTTCCCTGATAATTAGAGACATTGAGCATTTTTAATGTTTGTTGGCCATTAGTCTATCTTCTTTTGAAAAGTTTCTGTTCATGTCCTTTGCCCACTTTTTGATAGGGTTGTCTGATTTTTTTCTTACTGATTTTCCTGAGTTATAAATAAATTCTAGTTAT